ATACCCAGCCAATAATCACTCTGGGTTCTATAAAATTAGTACCAATTTGTGCTTATTGTACAGCCTGGTCTCCACCATCGTAATGTGTGATTTCCATCACTATTCAAGGACCACAAACGTATGCAAATAAGCAACTGCAATCCTTATTTATAACTAGACGAGAGCCCATTGAAACTGCAAATCTGTTTTCCAAAGGAGACCTGGGTTACATTAAGCATATAGATTCTAATATTGTTTCAGTCCATTGGATCCCCCGATAAATATTATCCAGCAACATTTGTTTAAGGATACAAACTCCTAACTGGTTTCAACCTTGTGGATCTTATCAGCAGTGTCAGGCTTTTTAAACAAATGCGGTTGGTTACCTGATGTTATTTGCAAGAGCACTCCATACAAACAATCCGACACAGCAGCAACATCCTATTGCAATGGGGGATGAGCTCTGCCCAATGCTCGTGTACGCAGAGAAGCACGTTAATGGCTCCTGCCTGAGCATTGCTTCTCGCTGTCTTCCACCTGGCTGTGCTCTCTGCTGGTGGCATGGCACAGCTGAAGCACTACCAGGCGGGCGGGCGCGAGGACGACGTGGCGCGGTTCGCCGGCGTGCCCTGTCAGGGCCGCGAGTGGCTCCACACGCCGGAGCTGGGACCTGAGCGTGACCTGCAGGCGCAGATCGGAAAGGCAAGGACTACCATCGCAATCTCCGATCCGGTCGTTCCTCCTCTCCCTCTCTCCCTTACGAACATGCACACCTTCCCTCGCGTATCTCTACCCCCTCCCTCCCCTCCCTCCCCCCCTTCCCTCCACATCTCTCAGCTGCACGCAAACCCTTGGGATGGTTCAATTCAATCACGGGCTGACATGGTCTTTAAGTTTACACTGTTGCCACTTGGCTGCATTGCACTGCGAGGTAGATTGTTTCTGTAATGCTGTGTGTGTGTGTATATATTTTTGGTCAGGTTATTTTGCTCGTTATCGCTGCCAGTGTGAACCTCCCAAAGCTGCGATCTGGTTAATTTTCATGCCATCTGCAAGCGATTGCATACGTGTGCGGCGGCCCCTTTGTCAATCAGCCTCTGGGCAAGAGCCACGCTGCACCGTGCGGCCCATGGGGGGTTATTTGACCACCCTTTGCCACGCTGGTGTCAGTGCGCTTTGATGAAGGCGGGCGGCATAGATGTCGGAGTGTGGTGCAGTACAGCGATTGATTTTGCTGCTCAGCCCTCTGTTGACATTGTAGCCCCCCCCCCCGCCCCAGGCAATTGAGACGGTTTTAATTTCCGGCTTGTACAAACCGGCACCTGGGACGCCGGGGTCATTGTGTGCAGGCGGGTAAGCTCTTACCTATTGTTGCGGCCACTCGGCCTGAAAGCATGAATTAATGATTTGTAGTTGGGGGGGGGGGGACAGTATAGTCTTGCATTGTATTCAGTCATTCCATCGATTATTTAACATTTTGGTTCTAACGAGCTGCTGCAGTTAGTCGGGAATAATGTAAAATGTATTTTAATACAGGATGTGTGTGTAATGTTTGTATTTTTCTAATCGGTAAGGCATTCCTGGTTTTCTGTTCAGGAGCTAAATGGCACGAGACTGCTTCATTAGAAAGTTTGTGTAGTTTTGCTATTCCTCATTTTTATAGTACAGGCTATCGTGGTTTACTATATGGTCCATAGCTGGTAATTGCACCGATAGAAAAAATGTAGGCACTTTGCCAGATTGACAAAGCATTAGAAAATATTAAGGGTTGTAGTAAAGTTTGCTTGGGCAGAACACGTCATTCGGAGGCGATTGCCGGTGGTCGAGACTAAAGATGGAGTGTCGGGCAAAGGAAGAAACCCTCACCTGAGGGAATTCCACCACAGAGATGCAGAAATGGCAGGAGCTCATGTGCAGGAACTAGATGGATTGTTGCGTTGTAGGACCTTGAGGGATGGGAACACCTCGGGGAGGCCTCAGTCTATCGGTGGATTGATTATAGCTGATGGTGATGTGTGTCTGTGTGGGTTCACTACATACCTAATATGCCCGCTCCCCCCCGCAACCTAATCAGGATTAAATGAGCTGTCACGATTCACATTAATAGTTTGACCAAAGAATACACATGTTTGAACTCACGGGGGTAGGTCAGATGGGCCCATGACATACAGCATTAGGAATCGGAAAACACACAATTTTACGCAATTCATTGCACGTAATGCGAAGCTTAAAATAGTAACCCATGAAATGATGTGTCAATCCTCCGTTGAATGACAGTAATTGTCCAATGGAAATATTCTAACCCTGCAGTAGGAATGTGAAATTGCCACGACTGGCTCATTGCCAAGGATGAACCAGGCGAATTGCCTGTTAGTGAATTTATTGATTCCATGCAGCACCTGTGTGAATTTCTCACTCCAGATTTCTTGATATTGACTTTTTGCTAATAGAAAGTGCAGCAGGGTAGGGCTTGTGCTGTTTGCCAAATGTGCATACGTATGCTGAACCTCTTTGGCACCATACTGTGCTAATCAGAGGTTATGGGGTAAGTACAAAAACTAAACACAAAAAAGCTGTTCTAAAGAAATGAGTTTTCAATCTTGATTTTAAAGTGCATCGCTTCAGTGGCTTCCTAATAACTGAAGGAAGAGCATTCCAGATGGCTACAGAAACGCATATGAAAGCGCGTGATGCAGTGAACGTCTTTTGTTCGATGGCTAGCCAAAAGCTGCTGCAAGGATGACTGGAGTTCGCATGATGGTTTATGCTCCTTGACGAGATCAGCAAGGTGTTGTGGTTCATTTTTGGCAAGCGCTTTGTGTGTAATGAGTGTGATCTTACGTATTTGTCTGGAAACCGGAAGCCAATGCAGCTTTGACGAGCACTGGACGGAGATGGTCAGATCTTGCAGTACCCATCACGACACGTGCCAAAGAGTTCTGTACACACTGCAGCTCGGTCATGTTTTTGCCAGACATCCCGTAGAGTAGTCAGTTGCAATAATTGAGCCTTGTTCATACTATGCTACACGGCATCATGTTGGCTAAATCGCCAACAATCCTGTGCTCTACCACCCATGGCAGATTTGTGCCAGGAAGGTGCCACCATGTATGTAATGAAAAATAAACTTGACTTGCAGATGAAGGACGTGCAGCCCACAGTGATGCCACTTTCCCAGGATCAACAGCTGCCATACTACATGCCACAGGTGAGGAGGCACCTTCCTGGGCTTCGTCTGTGAATTTTTAAATTCAAGGCATGGAAGAGGCTCCTTGGTACAGAGTATGCAATGTAATTCTATGCCTGATGACTCTGGTAAGGAAATAGCTTTTTGGCGTGGGATTGGAGGGTTGTAGGTGGCGAGATATCATTATACACTAATTCACATCCGCAAGCAGCATTTTCAATATATGCATCAACTAAAATCTGTCTGTTTAATGAGCTGGAGGACCTAACATGGGTTTTTTTCAACATTACTCGAGTTTCGTTGCACTCTACTATGTGTTGGTTAAAATGGTGCTGCACATTTCCCATTTTGCCATAATTGGTAAAATGTTTGACAGTCCTGATAATCGAAATATCTAGTTCTGGTTTTTGCGCATAAAATGTATTCTTTTTCATTGTTACGATTTCGGTGAGAATAGAAAAATAAAAAGCCGATTGAAACATTGGCGCAAACTCATCAGTGAACATTAAACAAACCGGCAAAACTCAAAGGTAACACACGTTCACAAACTGACAGCAGATAACCCTTTTTAACATGTTGCAAACGATGTTTTTGTTTTCTTGTGACGCTGCTGCAGTGATTAAAGTCTATACCAGTGGCTTATGAGAGCCACACTTGGTTCCCGGTCAGCTCAATCGCGGCTCGATAGAAATGCGGCTCTTTTGTAAACAAATAAGCAGACATCTCTCCTTCGCATAACTGTTCCTTTTATACTTCCCATCAACCACAATGACTTCTGGGAGTGCATCATTTTTGGCGGCATTGGTTCAATGCAAGCAAACTCTGGACTGGTTTTTGACATGCAGTGTCTTGTCAGCAGTCAGGCTTGCTTCAACCAATGCTGGTGAACGGCCAGATGTTTATAGACAAGGACTCTGTTATGTTCTTTGAAACCCGAGAAATCTGCAGAAGCAGGGGCCGTCTTGAGGCACTTGTCCCTGGTAGCAGAGTGAAACATGAGTACTCCTGGGGCACTCCTGCAGATTTCTAGATTCAAAACTCCACATCCAACGAGCACGAGTGAACCGGCCCTGGACCCCACCCCCATCCTCCTAATGCCCCCCACTACCACTCTCTGCTAAGGAGTAATTTAGCTCTCCGCTTGTGAAATGGTGGTGCTGCTGCCTATGGTCTCTAAACGAATTCACTGAGTGAAAATGCCACCCACAAACTACCCCCACTGTCCACCACCAGCACTCTGGTGTTGATGTCCTTTACAAAAATGGTAGAAAACCCATTTTTTTTCAAATTCCGTAAAAAAAACGTATTTCAAGTGCTGCAATGCACGTGAATACGAGAGACGGTCCTTAATAAATGACGTCACGAAGCAGTCCTTCAAGAGCCTCGTGCAGCTCCAGAGCTGCAGGTTTGCCATGCTCATTTCTGTAATACTTTCAAAGGTAAATTGTAAAGGAGCATCCTTGAATTGTTTTGTTTGTGCTGCTTGAAGGGCCTCCACTAGAGGGAGGTCTAGAGAGCCCCTCTTGAGGATATATTTGGCCTACTCTTCCACACTGGCAAGATGTTTTGGAAGAGTTGGGAGTACCCACACCTTACCCTACCAGACACGGGGTTTTTTCTCAGTCACATGAATCAAAACTCGAGCCAAAGATGGTGCGTGCATTTTAATTGCCAGTGTAGTTTATTTTTTTTGCTCAGGGTGCAACAATAGCAGCCAAGTTTGTATAATAACCGCGTAAAATACTACCAAAAATCCTTTGTTTATAGACGTTTTTTGTTAAATGTGCGTGCAGTTTTTTTCTAAGACATGTGTTTGTATTTTTTCCTTCCCTCTCCTCTCTGCCCAAAGGGTAAAGTTCAAGGGTCGGAGGTGAAGACGGGATGGCTGGAGAATGACCTCGTGTCTCCCAGCATGTTTGGGTTCTAAGCGAGCCGTGACGTTGCGCTAGAATAATAGAATTAAAAACCTCTGCATGAAATGCTCCAAAGTTAAGAAGTAAAAACGTAATCAAGAAAAATGTGTACAGGAGGTAAAACAAATACCAATAAAAAAAAATTACCCAGACCGATCATTGGCATGGCTGTTAAAGGTCGTGCTTTTTAAGAAAAATGTTAGTACTTTCATTTGTTTTTGTACAATTATGTTTTGAGATGTGACATTTTTTGTTTACGTCTCTTACCACACTACCTGAAAGTATTATTTGTAAGCGTGGTTTTTTACATTACAGTTATGTGCAGAGTCACCGATTCGTTGGCGCAGTGAGAAAACTCTTCATGGGTATAACGATGACGACGACCACGACGGGAGCTTTGCGTTTAAAGTAAACATTGGGGTCACGAGTCAGTGCCGTGCGCCGGATCATGCGAGCGCGGCTGCACTTCCCTCGCAACCTCGCCCACCTCATTTCTAGACGATGAAGCCATTTTTTTTAGCATTTCACGAAACAAGTACATGCCGCCCGTGAAACCTTCCCTCCCCTCTCTCCGTTCCAGTGGATGGTTGTTGGGCTCATGTGTGTGTTTTTTAAGTTATGTTAGATATTTGTTTTGTCCTTTTTTAAAAAAAAGCTTAGGAACCACTTCCATTAGACACTCGCCCTAAGCCCTGACAGCTCTCGCGTTGTTCTCATCTAACGCGCGGTAACTGTTTTTAAAAGCGTTTGTGTAGCTGTGTTGGGTGTACGCTTTATTTTTTAACAAAATAATGATTTTTCTGTCCGTGTAAGTTAAGCCTGTATAGTAGATGGTTCCGCGGTTAGTAAAAAAAAAAATTAGATTAAAAAAAAATTAAAAATTAAGCGATACAAATTGTTTTCTTGTGTATCCGTGCTGGCAGCCTATTTTTGTATCGTGAAATAGCCGAGGTCTTTGAGTTTGGTGCACGTGTGTGTTTTGACTTTGTATCCAATAATATTGTACGTGCACAGGGTCGCCTGTATTTCAGCCTTGCAAGGTATGTTCAACATGCCAACGTGTACATGAAAATGCGAAACCACATTCAAATAAAATCTGTGTTAAGGGCCAATTCCATAAACGGAGAAACATGACTTTGTGTGCGTGTGTTTGGTTTTGGTCCTCCCTTAGGTAGACTCAGCCTTAAATTAGTGTCTCGTGTGCTGCAGTGTGTAAACATTGGCACTTGGGGATACAAAGATGGGCGGATCATAGCGCTGACCACCACCCCACCCCCTCGTGCGCTGCGCCGGCCTTCATATACATATGTGCCTGTTTGGTTTGCCAAAGGATGGCTCTGATTGCATAACAAATTGCTAAGGATGAAACATTACGATATTAAAAGTGATTATCATTATAAACATTGTAGCATAAATGTCCACGTAGCCCTTGGTGATTTACATACTCTCAGAGGTCTTTATGGGCAGTGTAAAAAAAGAATATTAATTGATTATGCCTGCTTGAGTTTTGAAAGGACGTGAAATGGATTTGGGGTCATTCGGGAACCAATCCCGATGGTGTTTTTACAAGCTTTGCACGCTACAAATAGGCCAAAAGCTCATTATAAAAGATAAAATCTGAAATAATCCACTCGTCACAAAGCGCGATTATAAAAATACACCTTGCACGCGAGCACGCAGACGTAGCCCTTTTTCAACGATTTGCTCCTTGCTTTTTTTGCACGGTATTTTCTGTTCCCCCCCCCCACCTTTTTTTGTAAAGCTGCACAGTTCCATGTGATCAGATGGGGCGGGCAAATCGCAATTAAGTGTCCTCCACGCTGAGTTCTGGCGCAGCAGGTGAGATGAGTCCAGAGCGTCGCCCCACTCCGGCGCTCAAGCTTGTTGCTGCTGCTCTTGGGGTTCTTTCCCTCCGTTCTCACTCGCAGTCATATTCTGATGTGAAAAGTGCTGCAAAGGAAGCGATACATGCTCACGTAAGTGACCACGAAGCTCAACTCCAAACAACAAGCATGCACACGTGGTATCGTACGCACGTTTGTAAAAATAAATGAAAGCTATAAGTGCAGCCCTGCGATTGCTCTTGTCAGTGCTGTTGGAAGGGCCTCCACTGGAGCGAGCTGTCGAGAGCTCCTCTAGAGGGTGCCTTGGCCAGAGGCGTAGCTAGGGGGGGGCAGGGGGGTACACATGTCCCCGGGCGCCAAGGTAAAGGGGCGCCAAAATGAGGCTTACAACGTTACATTATAAATTATTGCGGCGGGCGCGGCCGCCTGAAACTACTGCACAAATCAACACCGCAACCTAAAAGTTTATATATCCCGCCACACACAGCCTACATGTCATGTAATTACATTTTGGTATGTGATTAAACGGGGGGGGCGCCAATTTTTTAGTCCGTCCCCGGGCGCAAAATATCCGAGCTACGCCTTTGGCCTTGGCTGACTTTTATGCTGGGCAGTCCTCTTGGAAGAGGTACCTGTGCTTTAGCTCCCCACGTGCTTCCCGACCGATTAACAGTGGGTGGACAGAGGCAGGGGAGGTTTAAAAAACTTGATATATTGTTCAATGGCCACGCCGGGAGATCGAACCCAGTGACTTTTCGATTGGAAGTCCAGTGAGTTAACCATTACATCGTGGCATCGTCTACCTTTGTCGTGCGTCAGTTAATACAACCTTTTTAATGTAAACGTAAACAATATAGTCCAGAAAAATCTACGAATGTCTGGTTGATAAATATAAATCTAGCATTTTTGATACCAATAGGTCTGCAGGATGTTGCACAGGATTAAAAAAAATGTTATTTAAATAACCTTTCATCCTCGGGCCCCTGCAGGGGACACGTCAATTTAAAAAACACCTTTTTAAATATTTGCAGCAAGTGGACACTTATGTCTTGGGATGCCATTCGTTACAAATGGAAATTTTCTTTCCCTCGATAAACCATCCATCGTTACAGCTACGAAACACGTTCAACCGTGTCGCCCTATCCTCTTTTGCTACATCTTGACAGCAGACTGCCTCCAGAATTAATACCATCATCACCTGCATAGTCCCGATTGCTATCTTCCGATTGCCTTTCGTAAATGACCGTATTTAGGGTAAGATTACCGGTGTAGAACTGCTGACGGATGGGCGACACTGGCTTAAAAACGTTCCCCCATATATTAACCACAATGCAGTGGTTGATATGTTGACAATCGCGATTCTAATCCACGAACAAATAATACGATTTTCAAGGACCCGGAGTGTACCAGCAATCATACTCGGATAATCCCGCCTTTAATATCAATTACTTTGTTCTTCCATTGGTGGTAAACAATTCATATTACAATACCACTTCAGTGTCGTGCAGCTTTGCAGAGTAATGTGCTTAGCCTTTTATCAATTCTGTTAGGAATGGTCTCACCATGATTTTCAGTCATGGGGGTTGTCTATCTATACTTTGCTACACTGGGAAGTGTGGATTGGTGCAGAGGAATCACAGAACCGGTTCAAATATCACTCGATATATGAATCTACATCAAAGCGGTGAACAAAACTGTAAATTTCAATGTATAACTGGCAGTAATACGAACAGAGATGCAACGGCATTAACTACCATATAACCTGGAGGGTTTATCATCGTGCTACTATCCTGCGTTTCAGCCATTATAAAGCCGTTTAAAACTAAAATAATAATAATAATCCTTAAGGCCCGGGCTCAAGCCTCTAAAGCCCCGGTGTAAATCCGCAAAGGTGTCCGCATGCACACACGCGTTTGCGTGCGGTGTGGCGACCGCCGAGATGCTGGGTTCCATAATCTGCGCGAGCAACCTGAGGAACTCGGGCGCCCGTGAGATCATGTTCTCGAAGTCGGCGTACGACAGCTTGTTGTCGCAGTCGAGGTCGGCCTCCTCCACCACCTTGTCGCAGACGAGCGTCACCTCCTCCTCCGCCAACTCGTCGCGCGTCAGCTTGTTCAGCGTCACCACCAGGTCCTCCTTGCAGATGAAGCCGTCCGCGTTGAAGTCTGCTTTGGGGAGAAGGAGGCGCTGTCAAGAGGCACACGTCCCACCGTGCGCCCGATTCGCTCGGGCAGCTTGGTGGGGGGATGGACCGTTGCGTGCGTAACGTCTCGCAGGACGGACGACTCTTGAAACTTCGAATATGAAAAAGCCCCAACCTGCCAAACGACTGTCTCTCACGTAATCACTCTGTGCTCTATCCAATTTACCGGAGTTAATATACCTGGCCGCGGCAAAAATATCAGCGGCGAGCGACGTCCGAACCATTCCTGGGGGCCCCTCTCCCCTTCAACCCACAATGACCAGCATTGTGAAGTATGGTCAAACAACCCCCGTGACTGGCACGGCGTGGGGATGCCTTCATGCAGTTGTGGCTTGATAAAGGGCTGTTTAATTTGAGTTTCAACATGAACCCGTATCTATGCATTAGCTATAGATTGTAACCGGCACTCACAGCCCAATGTCCTCTATGAACTCGGTGGCATTGCCTTGCATGGGAGATATGATTGTTAAGCCATTAGCACGGTACTAATTCAGGGGTCCTGTTACAAATATAAACAATTATGGGTTATCTGAAAACTATTAATTAACTTTATTATCAGGCATGTATGTATGTTGAACTTCTTTCGCACCGTATGTAGCCAACCGTGCTAATCGTAGGTGGGTGTAAAACACACGAGATCTGAGTTAAAATAAATACGCTTAAAAATAAAATAAAGAAGATAATTTGAATTGAAACACACATAATACCGACACATTTAGAAAATGTAAACACTGATTAAGAATGCAGAAATTGTACGGATTGGAAATCGGTGTTGTTGAGAGACGTCGGCAAATCTTTGAGCGTGACGAGGATAAATCTGCGGTCGTTAGGATCGCCGTCGCTGTGCAGAGGAGAGGGACGCGTCGCGAAGCTCCGAACCTTCGGGCCGAGGCCATCGGCTCCGTGGCCAAGAATCGCGCGAACGCGCGGAGTCTCTTGAAATTCTCCGCGTGTCGCCAGCGAACAGTTAATATGGATAAATGTGATAATTGTGGCAGGAAAAAATCCCCGAATTAGAAATGCCCTGCGGAGAGCACTGTCTATCACGCGGCTCCAGCGCATATTTTAAACGCCAAAAAAAAATGCAATATTCATATAAAATAATTGTATACGTATATTTTCCATCTATAAATCTTAGACGTCGCGACGTGTGTCCATCCATCATTTCCTTCATCCATCGATAAAACACTGATGTCTTTCATAGTCTGTTGATTTACCTGTCTCTGTAGATTTCTGTAAAATCGTCTATCGGTAACAATAATTTAGTCACGTGTTGTTTTGCTGTGTGCAATATTCCATGTAAGGGGCATGTATTCATTAACACGCCTTTATCGTCACACGTTGTATTTGGGGGAACACAAAAAGAAAAATGACTGCTGTGATGTCTGGATTGAAATCCATTGGAATGATATTGCCATGATGTCACTGAAATGCTATAACGGTGGGTTTAGCTGTAAATTTCAAGTATATATATACACACATTTCTTTATCATTAACGACAAGGCCCGAGAGCATTGTACATGCATTCTGGTGGTCACATGACATGCATGCAAGGCATACGGATGGGAGTCGTGCCTTCCCGCTACGTGTGAGCAGCACACCTCTCTGCCTGTTCTTATTTCTGGTAATGAAGCTTCAAACTGCTGCTATCCAATTCAGGTCACGCCCTCTAAAAAAAAAAAATCTCCCATTTTGGAAAAGGGAATATTTTAGTTGCTGATTTCTCGTGCAATTGCTTATCCTCGAACTATTTCGGGTTATCGAGCAATGAGCAAAATGGCAAAGCATCTTTCAGTGAATTAACGGCATTATGATAACAGCAGGGGTGCCTGATTATCCCAGCCGTGGGACCAGCGTGAGACACGATAGGATCGTGGGGCTGGAATCAAACGCCCACCATAGATCTTGAAGGCGTAGTAGGCCTTGAGCTCGCGGGGCGCCATCTCACTGAACACGGAGAACATGTCGACAAAATCGTTGAAGCTCAGGTTCCCCGAGCCGTCCTCGCTGAACACCTCGACGATCCGCAGCTTGAACGGATTCTCCTGTTGGTCACACGCGAGAGGGAGAAGGCAGTTGGGTCCGTTTCACTTCTCTCCTCCCATTCATTCTCTTCCCTACCATTAATCGTCTCTCATCCATTCGTGTCCTGTCACTGAGTTAAACTACCTTTTCCATACAATTTTGCAAAGGCAGAGAGGCAAATTCTGAAGCAATATTGACCGTTGATATTTTTTTACTTGGCAGAGTGTGATAATCTGGATTGTTTTTACATGCTAATGTAAATTGAATGCTAATGAATTTTAAAATATTGACCAAATCACCCAGAATGCACCCAACCTCACAAGATGTCGGAGGTTAAGTATGGATGGGCTCGGATAATGTTTGTATGAGTGACCACTATTCATGAATGGTGCTATAGTCTGCAGGGCTAAGTGGTGGACAGCCAAGGGCAGTGCAACAAAATATATAGTTGAACAGTAATTATATGCTCCCATGTCTATGCTCCCCACCCTTTCCAACCCACATTTACCAGTATGGTGAAGTAGGGTCAAATAACTCCCATGATTTGCCTAGCATAAGGAGGGCCTCATGAAGTAGTGGACTCCCAAATGCAAATTACACGTACAGTACATATATTAATATATCTTCTTGGTTCTTTCGGTAAAATCATGTAGAATGGAAATAATAAAATAATAATAAAACATAATAAAATAATTCTCACGACGTTTCGGCCACAACGCAAGCAGCCGTCCTCAGGTGAAGATATATATTTCAATTTGGCAATAAAACCAACAGATTTTCTTTTGACAACAATTTTTTTTTTAAATGATGCATAAACTAATTTGATATTTTGTTGTGCACACATTGGTGATTGAGCTAAGACCATCAGCTCGTTACACTTGGAAACCTGGTTTACTGACTGGTGGTTGTAGCCCAGATTTTAACTCAGGATCTCAGCGGTGGCAACTTAATGCTGGAAGCCACTTGCCTCGTAGTTTTCCTTCTTATTCCACGTCTCACCGATATCGCGGCATCCCACGTTTTCAATTAACGTTCGCCGAGAGAATTTTCAACGGCACATTCGTTCACCCTGTGTTTCTCAGAAACGATAATGCTAGCCAGCTGCAGACCTGCCGTTGAAAGGAAAAAAACACGGAGACTCTTCTAACCTTCACCGTAACCTTTCCACAGGGGGACCCACTGGGCTAAAGCGAGGGCAATCCATTATGAGTTACACTCGGGTCCGCAGGAGAAACGCGGGCGCTAAGTTCACGCCCTGCGATGCCCTTCCGTGCCCTCCCGTCGTCGCTGCCACCACCGTCCTTGTCAAAGCAACCGTCTCTCGACGTTTACACCGAAAATGCCGACGGGAGAAATTCTCGCAATGAAAACAAACGCCCTTGTTTACAGTCAAGCGAGAAGACAATTGGTTGTAACATTTGGAAAGAGTGCAAATGGGAATTTAGGTTTAAAACTAATGCAAAGGAACGTACAATTTAATTACGTCCGTCGGTGAAATAAAAAAAAGACCGCCAATCAGGCTGCGACGTGTGTACGATGTAAAGGCCATGGGTGAGCGTGGCACGGCGTGCCTGTGGAAATGACCTTGTCACTGAGTCTGCGACCGCATTTGCGTTTCAATCCATCAGTCACACACGCCACTCCCCCCACGTGTGTGGATCGTTGCCACCAAATCAGCCTGAATGCATCTGATCTGAATGTGCCGAATATTCACTGATGCTAAGCATGGTTTAGCCTAGTTAGTACTAGTATGGGAGACTGCCTGGCAATGCTAGGTAGCGTAGCCGTGGCATGTAAGTCCGGTCAGGAAATACAGCAATGGATTGCTGAATCTGTCTCTGCAGACCTCTGAGTGTTACACCCTCATATGTATGTTGGGTGTTCTTCCAAGTACCTTGTTTTTTCCCCCTAAATAAAGCCAAATGCTTATTCATGGAATCAGCCAAATCTCCCCGTGCAGTCATCGTCAAGAAGAGTCTTGATGCTTTCTTGGGCAAAGACAGGGAATAATTATAATATATTTAATTGCATACTCACATTTAATTTAATGTATCTAAACTTAATGAAAGTGGGTTTTCTGCAATAAAATGTAGTAATCACTTGGCTACATTTCCATTTAAGACCACTTAACAGCCCAATCATTAACGGACACCTGGTATTCCCAGGAAGTTTCCCATCCAGTTGTGAACCAATCTCCCTCCTGCTTAGCTTATGCCATGTATACATTCATCCGAATAAGAAACGTCGTTTGCATGTCAGTCACAGCACTTTTATCGTAGAGAGTCGAGTCAGGGCTCATTCTGACAAGAAGTAATCAAACATCTATGGCATTGATGATGAGCTACGCATGACCTTTGACATTTGTCCGAGGTAAACATTTTACCTAATTTTGCAATTATGCCACCACTAGAGGGCAGCGGTGACTGGGTGGTGGCGTGAGTGGACAGACACTAAGGAGGCCGAAGGTCACTCAAACAAAATGTGGATTTGGGTAGCCCCGATGTCAAATGTGACCAGGTGGTGGAAGATGACGCCGGATAAAGCTTCAGGTCACTCATGCAATACAGTTTTATGAATGTTCGTAATTTCGAAAAATGCTCATCCTGCCCAGAGGACAGGCTGCTGCTCACGGTGAAAACAAACATCGCTGTCGCCGATTATGTCCCCCGATTTGTTCCCACCAGCAAACACTTCTTCTTGGTTCTTTCGGTAAAGTCACGTGACAAGTCACGTGACAAGTTACGTGACTTTACCGAAAGAACCAAGAAGATGAATCCCTGCAGTCGCGAAAGCCTTAAATCGAAATTCAGCAAACACTTGTTCCGATTTGAGGTTAACGTTCTGGGTTAGGGTAACTTTGTTTGAAATAAATAAGGGGAGGTACAAATATTCACGTTCCCTAAATAGTGGTTCCCGTGGGGAACAACTAATTATTGTTTCTCAAGGAACAAGTATTTCTGGGGAAACATCTATCCTCTGACCACCTGCTCGTGAATAGAGATACACGGGGAGGCAAACAACAACAACAACAACAAGACCCGGGTCGCGTTGGGGTCACAGTGCAAGGCCGCCGTGCCACTGATCACCTTGAGCTCGGGCATGTTGCATATGAGCTGCGGCGGGAGTTTGATGTCCGGCTCCTTGGTGTAGTCCATGGGCACCAGCTGAGGTGCCAGCTCGTGGTACCGGGCGTGCAACCTGCGGCGAGACACACGGAGACGCGTGTGGATTGCGAACTCTCTCGTTACATAATGATCACTGCATCGAAGCTGGACCAGCATTGAAGTGAGAAAAAATGTTGCACGTAGAAGAAGATCTGTTGTAGGCAGTGATGAGAAGGATCTGGCACTATTTGGACATATATGTCGGATGGACAACAACAGGAACATTTAAAAGTGTGTTCTTCGGAAATATGTAAGGAACTGGAAAGAGAGGCAGACCTAATAGAGAAGGCTTGACGACATAACAGATCGGTGCCAGAAACATTTGCACTACTTGAGCATATTGGCACAAGAAAGAGAAAAGTGGTATGGGCTATCTGTCCATGGATCGTGATGTTGATTCTCGTTTTTGTTCATTAGTTTTCCCGAACGAAATCACTGTCACTTGTCGTCTATGACAACGTGAAGATGATCACGTGCATTTGGTGGTCCAGAGCCAGTGGTGAAAATTTCCACGTCGCTATAACAGAGACCAGTCCATTCGTAGGACAACGGCTGTGGACTTCCTACACTGTGGTTTAATTGCATGTGAGACCTTCAGTCCACGTGCTCAAGTTAATGCATTCATTGAATTGATTTCACCACGCAGAACGATGTGCATTGTGTGTACAAAAGCGATGCGCCTTATGCAAGCCATGAGCTCAAAATAACCGCACGTGTGACCGTTGAATCGTTTCGACCGCCGACTCATGAAGATGAGAAAAAAAAAACACGTTCCCACCAGGCAGCAGTGAAACAAAGAGACAACTGTGGACCGGTTTCATTATTCTTAGGGCTCATCAGCACAGTAATCAACGTGCACTGCTGGCATATGCCTCTGGGAGCCTCATATATGGAGAGGGTTGTATCATTTACACTGTGCGAATCCCATTCTGCTGTGATGGGTGTCTCGTCATTTACAGATTTGAATTATTCGTGATGCTGGCAAGAGTCCATTGAGGTTATTTCTTAAATCAATGTATTTGCGTTATCTATGTAGGTAAGTGAGAGCCTTTCGAGATAATTTGATAGGCATTGTGTATTCTATAGAATAAAAAATATGAACAGGGGAGAGAATGTCCCAGTAAATGTTTACTTTTAAACACTGAATCAACAGGTGAAAGTCCATTGAGATGTCGGGTTTTATAAGTTGCAAATCCATAGAGAGTCATCATTGATTAATTTAACAGGTGAGACCCATGTAGAACATATTGTACGCATTCTCTACTGGTGGGGTGAGCCACTTGTGGACATATTAGAGATGTTCTAGAAGGAATGACATTATGAAAATTGGCATTCAGGTATATGGTTATAAATTACAAAAATATCAACACCATTCTTCTTTTTGGGGCCCGAAACATTATTGCGCAGAGGTTGATTGGTTTCACTCACAGGGCAGGCTCACAGCCTAAAGTGCTCCATTGCCCGAAGTCTCGCGCTAAGCACTTACAAATACGCGACGATCCCCATCCTCGATGAACCAAGTACTTCGCCTTGCATGGGGTCTGATGCTGGAGCCCCTATGAAGTGTACAAAGCCCACCGAATGTTACGAAATAATAATATTTTTTAACGCCTCTGTCAATCCACTGCTGGATGGAGACCTTCTCCACGCATTTTGGTCAAGGGGGTGGGGTGTGCGGGTGGTTGTTGGGCCACAGTTCACCGCGCCGCTCGGTGCTGGCTGGCGAAAGGACGGGTTATCTCCATTTATATCTCCGTTTATATAAAAGTTAAAGTTGTGAATATGTGTGTCTGTTCAAAATGTTTAGCGTACTTCCCGGCATGCAACGAACTGGAAATTTGCCATGTGGGTACTTTCCAGACTGTACACCATGCACAAATGATAAAAATACACTTTTTGGGGGGCGGGGGGGTGAGCTCAATAATGCATTTATTTTTTGCACGGCAAGTGAGCAGTGACGTCACATTTGTCACGTGACCCACGCACGTGGAAGCGTAACGCATTGTCGTGTAGTGGTTAGCGCTACGCTGCGCTACGAACCCGACGACCCGACTTCGATTCCAGCTCACGGCCACCACCGGTGACGATTATTTCAACCGCTCCTGGGCCCTCCCCTAGGTCGACTCAGCCTCAAACGAGTAACTGCTGTGGCGTGTGAACATCGCCACTGGGGAGACAAAGGCGGCCCGGGCGTGGTGGATCCAAGTCCCGGGCGACGCCGGGTAGTACAGCTCGTAACTAACAAACGACGCGCCCCGTTGCAATGCCGATCTTGGGGTGGGTGAGACCCGGCCGTGTTTTTGCGACTTCGTTCTGAATGAGCGCTCCAGGATTGCCGCTGTGCCCCAATGGATTGTGTGCACCCTCGTGAGCCCTCCCTGCCACGCGCGTCTCGCTCACCGAGCAGCGAGAATCAGGACAGCGTTAAATCAAAAGCCCATTTTCAGCGGCGCATCCTCGCTGGGTCATCAGAGGTCAGGTCGAACACGGTCGGTACACGGGCGATTAAGGCGGACGCGCGGGTTCGCCTGGTGCAAAGATTTGGAGGGCAGAAATGGCTTGCTGGCTCACTTGCTATACCTCTCATTCATTCACTCACTCACCAACTGGCCTGGTCATTCACTCACTCGTACATTCACATGCACACACTTTCACTCACTCGCACGTTTAACCTCACACTCATCCGCCCAACTATTTACACAGACACTCCTTCACTCATTCATCACACACTGGGTCACCTACTCAAACATTCACCCACTCACTCTTCATTCACCCACTCACTCATTTACCCGCTCGCACATTTCCCCACACAGTCATTCGGTCGCTCACTCACTCACTCACACATTTAGCTAGGTAATAATGAGATAATGAATTGGTTTACTTATTAATTCAAGAATTCTTATTCATCCACTCACATGCCTGTGCACATATGTGAATGTATACGCACATGCGTATACATTGAGAACGAATATATGGCTTTTGTGTTGTCAACCTTGGGTTAAAACAAAGAATATACAATCTTGATTTGAAGCTTTCGTGACTGCAGGAATCCATACTCTGGTTCTTTCGGTAAAGTCACGTAGGTATAAAATAAAATCAATCACGACGTTTCGGGCAGCAGGCCATGCTTTCCCACCTGATGACGGATGCTTGTGTTGCGCCCGAAACGTCGTGATTTATTTGATTAGATGTTATACCTACGTGACTTTAACAAAAGAGCCAAAGAGTAAAGAATATCCAGTAAAACATTCTCAGTGAAAAATACTAAAATAAAATAGTGAAAACCCCCCCGATACTAAACAACGTCCCTCATAAAAAAAGAAACGCGAATTAACTTTCCCAGTCAGGCTGGGTCTGAATATGGGGCTGCCTCCACTCCACCCTGGGTTGGGATGTGAACTCGAGCACTCACGCTCTAGACTCTAGAGCCTCGTCATGCAACAAACCGAGCCACATCTCTGCCTTAATAAGAGTGGCCCGACTCCACTCTCTAAAAATGATTAGGAGAGCTTTGTGTTTAGTAGTAATAGGTTTTTACCCTTTCCACTGGTAAAAAAAAGCTGACACCTTAATACAAGGGATCATGTTTGCAATGACCACAACACAAGCAGTCAAAATGCAAAAAAAAGAAACAACTTTTGGCGTCATCTTGTCCAACACCAATGGAGACTAGGCTCTAAGAAAAGCTGTCTCGGGTGTGGACCAATACACTTCAAGGACAGTGCATATCATTATCATTATCAGAGTTGTTTCTTTTTGTTTGCATTTTGACTGCTTGTGTTGTAGTTATTGCAAACATCATCCCTTGTATAAAGGTGTCAGTTTGTGTACCAGTTGAAAGGGTAAAAACCTATTACTATATTTTGCCACTGGTAAAGAACGTCTCATAGTGTAAAAGCGTTGTGTTTGTTGCGGCGCGGTCTGGCGCGGGGAAATGAAGTGATTATCGCATTAATAGCGTCCACAGACCGTCGCGGCCGCGGCTGCGTCAGCGTTTCTTGGGACATTTTGCACAAAATTGCGAGGAGGCCTTAATCAAGCGACGGCGGTAATAAAAGGAAAATTGAACGTTAGTCATCGTCCAGAGCTCCTGGCTGACAGCCTCTCGTCAGGAGCGCTTCAGCATCGTGAGCCGTAATTATTGGCACGGATCGTCCGTTCGACATGTTTGCTCTGTGCTGTGTTTTCGTGCTTGTACCGTGTGTCGTTCGGCATGATGTCGTCCGACGTTTTGGTGCACGTGCTGGCAGCTTCTTTAGGAAGTGAATTTAATATTTACATGTTCTCACCTGATATGTAGCAGTTTTAAGGTGCGGGCAAATAATACGCAGTAGTTATTGCTACGCCTGGGAAATATTATCTCTGTCTTTGCGTGTGTCCGTCAGTTCGAGGGCACTTCACTTTGTTTTTTCACGAAAACTAACGAAAACCCGAAACCAATCACCGTGAAACTAACCACACAGCTCACCAAGATCAACTTGCAGATGTGTACCATTTTGAGGAGAGATCGGTAATTCGGCACTCTTCACGAAGAGTTGTTTAACATGCATTAGATAGTGTGCACGTTGGCTCGCCATCAAACAAAGACGGTGACTGCATCGCGCACTTTCAGATGCGTTTCTGCGGCCGTCTGGAACGCTCTTCCTTCCGAAACTAGGAAACCACTGGGGCTATGCACTTTTAAATATAGGTTGAAAAATACTTTTCTTTCGAACTGCTTTTTGTGTTTAGTTTGTTGTCATTTCCCCGCACCTCCGATCAGCACGGTTGGCTACGTACGGTGCGAAAGACGTTCAACGTGCATAAATACATGCCTACAGGAAACAGAGGCTCACTTAAAAAAAGCTAGCATACCGGTCGATTATCTTCAAACCTGCCTCTATTTTATTTACCACACGACGGAGTTTCTCACCGACCGGAGCTGACATTTGTCTGATTATATTATCAGATGCTGCTGGTCAAGAGAGCCACACTCAGGTCTTCATCGATACGAACATTTGGCCTACAGGGTGGGAGGTAAGTCCGTAACCTCCCGTCTTTAAAATCTTGTTGTTGCTTGTAGAGGCAAGGGTTGAGAACAAAACTTCGCGTCCACCCTGCGCTTATTCTGTGGACACGTGCGGGGAAGAGCAGCTAACGAGAAACAGGACAACGTGTTTTTGGCAATGAGAGAGGAGGGTGGGGGGGCATGGCTGGCTGGCTGGCTGGGGAATGATGTAATGAGAATGGCTGAAATCCAACACGCGTCTGTAACATATCATTCCACCTTCATTTACCTCGACGCTGAGTTCACTTACAGCCCTGCCAGACTGAGCGACGTCGTCGTGTCTGTGATTATTGTGGCTGGTATTACTTTGTAGCGTTTGTCCAGGGAAGCATCAAAGTTTTAGCGGGTTTTTTCTTTCATCATCAGAACGATCCTGCTCTGGGCGTTTAGTCGACTTTGAGTCACGTTTGTTGCCACGTGTAAATCGGAGTAACCGAGACAACTTCAGATCTACGAGGGGATAACACTCACATTTGACTCCGCCCTGCAGATAGGTCTGCAGCCTACTTGCTGTACTGCCAGTAAATATGGAACGTTATGCCAACGTTGATCCAGCGGTTCTAACCACATGCCAACGTCGCGTGCTGACTGGGCTGTAACCGACTGAAGCTCAACTCTCTCCACTGGCACTTAACTGCGTTTCGCACAATAAAGTAAGACACTATGGGTGTCCCACACAGGCCAAAGCTGCTGTTTGTGGGCATGCACATGATGCGCCACGCGTGGGCATCACGATGAGGGCGAGAAGGGGGTGACGAGCGCATAGACAATTCCCTGAGCCCCACAGGTTTGACCACGCTCTTGCGGCGTGCTCCTTGTGGCGCACAGGGACAGCTGCCACTCGGGGGTCCCCTTGTCTAGGCTGCAGCAGGCCTTGGAATATTCGAGATGAGATTTTGATGCAAAAGGCACTTTGAGTGGCCGAGGCATCGAAGCGAGCGCCCTAAAAATACGAACCCTCATCCGTTGCCCCTACGAGAGTGGCTGTCGCGGCAATTATTCGCATAAAGGTGTCTTCGGCCACCTCAGCTGTGCGTGTGTGTCTGTATGATGGTGAACTTCTTTCGCACCGTACGTGGCCAACCACGCTAATCGGAGGTGCGGCTGGCGCACGGCTTTGCACAGAGCGCCAGACCGCACAGCGTGTTCGACCCGCCCTGGTGTCGCATTTGACCGGCGCTGCCACGGGGATTTGTCCCAACGAACAGCGAGCGGAGTGCGATGCCCTCATCGGAAATTTGACCCCGCCGCTGCTGCTGCCGCTGCTGCTGCTGTCATCGCTGAATAATTTAAACTCGCGGAAATGATAGCGGCCGCCGCTTGTTCAGCACGCGCTGGAGAAGAGAGAATTGCATACACGCCGAGAGAGGATTTCTGAACGTGCGGACAGGCAAGGCTTTCAGTGTTGTCGGAGGAGTCGCGTCGAATGAACGTGGATTCAACCGCTTGATCGCCTTTGTCTTAGCGAGCGTCGCGCGCTGTGATTGAGGGTGAGGTTTGTGGGAACCACGTATATACCACGGCAGTGAAAACATGTTCTCGCTTTTTGAGAGTCAACAATGCGTGACTTTGGTTTTGCTTCGTCAGATTCGATTGATTTTTGTTGTTGTTTTCAATTCATGTTTTGACAGACGGAGGCTGAGACATTCCCTAGCCAAAATCGTTGTCGTAATATCGTGGTCACACTCTGATGGGGGAAAAAAATCTTTACAAACACAACGGAAACGATATGACTCGGCCCGTCTAAACGACTCTAAAAGCATATTTATTTTTTCTTTGCAAAAAAAATAATCAAAGCCCGGGTATTATATCTGCACAATCACGCTCCCAGTTGTGTTGTGCTGTCGTGTTTAAGGCCTAACACGGAATTATTACACACGGGACGGAGACCAGGAATTATTAGTTACGAGGTTTTTTTTTGGCGTCAAAGTGTGCAATTGCAAAAATCTATTTTGGTGAAAATGTCTCACATTGAGGCGGTCTGCAAGGACAAACCCTCGCTTAAGCCCCCCAGGCATCCTCCCCGAGTCACCCGGATCGGCTAACTCCACGTGGATTGAAAAGCATCGGAGAGCAACATTTGCAGTGATCCGTGGATTGTGCTTTCAATCTCTGGGTTTGTTTATGGATTTCCCGAATGCGTCGACGAGTGCTGAAGGGGGCTGGAAGAGGGTGAGCCCCCCCCCCCCCCACTGTTTTGCAAATGTTCATAGTCAAGTAAAACTAATGTTGGTTGGAGGGTGCTCGACAAAATGTAACAAAAAGATGACGATTAACCAATGAAGCTATGCGCGTCGCAGCCTTTCCTTACACGAGCCAGAGCAGAATGCACGATCGCTGAGCGTTCACCACTTGTTTAAAATTAGTTTATCTTCTTGGTTCTTTCGGTAAAGTCACGTAGAAGGGAAGTAATAAAATAATAAAAATATAACATAATAAAATAATACAATATAATATAATATAATTATTTTTATTATTTTATTACTTCCCTTCTACGTGACTTTACCAAAAGAACCGAGAAGATGAATCCCTGCAGTCACGAAAGCTTTAAATCGAAATTAGTTTATCGTTGATGACGTTGTCGTTCCCTCCCCCTCCATCAGGCGATAGCCAGATTTGTAGAGAATCCTCCTGTTTCGTTCTTTAAATCGAGTGGTAGATGTGATGACAACATTTGTGAGCAACTTCAATTTGAGTATGACGCAAAACGTCGTACTCAGCTTGTAAGTTTTGTGGCTTGTCTCTCCAACACACCGGTGTTGCTGTACTCGTAACGAATTGGCAAATTCTGTTTACGCTACAAACCTTACTAGTTGGCTGTGTTGGGTGGTGGCGGGTTTAACGACACATTTATAAATGTATGCGATCTAACCCAAAAACAACGGTATTATGGATGCTATTAGTCGTGGAAGCCTGCTGCGTGTTAAACTTTGATCACTGTGTTTATCTTTATGTTACATTCGTGTATACTGTTCATAGACGATGTAATGTGCAGCCATTTTTGTCAATGCTGCTACTGGATGAAGGCCCTCCCAACCATGTGGTCATGAGGGTTATTTGACCATACTTCGCCACAAATTGGTCAGCGCGAGTTGGTAGGAGGGGGTGATCAGGACTGGTTTAGATATCACTCACCACTGATGACAGCCGTGACCGGTAATCAGGTTGAGTGGTTCAAACGGCAATGTTCTGACCACTGTGCCACCACTCCAGATAATCCACAAGTTGTAAATCATTGATTCTCACATCCAGAGTTCAATACAAGTGTCATGAGCTTAATCAACTATATTCTGCAGCGAATCGATTACGTCTCGTTTTTACCCAGCTTTACAGATGTGCCAAAGTTACCACCTAATGGGTATCACAAACGTACACATGAGTCACTGCAAATGAGAAACATGTCCCCTAAAGATAAAGGTACAGCCCTGCAATTGCTTGCTCACGCCACTGCTGTCGGAAGGGATCCCGCTCGAGGGAGCTCTAAAGAGCCCCTCTTGAAGGTATTTGGCTTCTACACTGCCCAGACTTGTGGGAATGCATGCACGTTGAACTTCCTTTGCATCGCACGTAGCCAACCGTGCTAATCGGAGGTGCGGGGGAAGGACAATAAACTAGACACAAACGGCAGTTCTAAAGAAATTTGTTTTCAACGTAGATGATTGGAAAGTGCATAGCTCCAGTGGCTTCTCATTATCGTAAGGAAGAGCATTCCAGACGGCCGCAGAATGGCATTTGAAGGCACGCGATGCAGTGACCGTCTTCATTCGATGGTTCGCCAAAAGCCACTGCGAGGATGACCGGAGTTCGCGTGATGGTTCATGCGCGATGATCAACAAGGTATTGCGGTCCATTTGTGGCAAGAAGCACTTTGTGTATAACGAGTGCGACTTTTTAAAAGGTGGGAAGAGGTGGGAAAATCCACACTTCATCCCACCACACTAGACCTTCCAATTCACCAATTGGCGCACGCACCGGTGCAGCATCGGACGCCGTTGTGCACGACGGGACCTGCCTGCACTCTACTACAGACAGCGTTTAAAGCCCACGTCTACAGGAGCAGTGATAATTATCTTCAAAGGTGTGGACACCGCCTGCCGTTAATGAAGCCACCACGTTGGTGGGCTTGAGAGATGGACGTGACGTTACGATGGGTGGAGGAGGTGCGGGGGGTCTTTCCCACTAATTGGGCACTCACCTGAGAATTTCCTTTCTTGTGAAAAACGTACAGTCCTGCCGACACAAAGAAGGGCGAGAGAACGGTTCAGAAATTAGCCAGCAGCGTCGCGATGGCGCGCGGGCGTTTACGCGCACAGGCGAAAACAAAAAGAACGAGTCCAACGTTAACAATTTGCAAAGCGAAACCAAGTGCATTGAAGAGAATTCACGTGCGCCTCAGAAATGCAACTACGCAGGGAACTACAGATGACAGTGACTGCCAAAAAACGCCTCGCGTGATTCGTTGTTATGCTGTGATATTGGACGCTTTATATTTTTTTATTGCACTTTGTTCTATTTAAATTAAAAATGTTTTATCAGATGAGTGCTCTTTGATTATTTTGCAAGGATACATGAGTGACCTGACACTGTACAGTAGTTATGTAATGGGAATCAGGCCTATCATTATTAAATGACCACTTTTATATTTCACTCAGATGTGAGATTTGGTGCCTTGGCGCTGCCATTGATTTGCCCAGGAAGCCTCGCTCAGTCTGAAGACTTTTCACGTGAGAATGGTTGGCAAATTCCATTCGTGAGTGTTCGTCTTCATGTGGAGGGAAACCGGAGGGAAGTCTGGAAAAAATCCACGCATCCAAGGGGTGACGCTCAGCACGACCATCTTCTGGATAACTCGCAGCCCCCAAGCTTCCAACAGCTGGAAAGCCCTGGCGGTCACCCATCCGAGTACTAACCAGGCTCAATATCTGCTTAGCTTCCCAGATTCGGAATATCCCGCACGCCTTAGCCGTGTGTTGCGATGGGTGGTGTGGCAGAGTTGCTGCTGTGGGGTACCCGGTGCTTCCAGACCCCGTTAGGGGTTGTTGCTATCTCATCCCCTCTGAGCATTACGACTTTTAAGAGGCAACGTCCTTTGCCTGACGATGGTATTTTGGTTCATCCCGTAATGCAGCCATTTGTTTGACACCCTCTGATATGTCTCATATCATCTTCATATCTCCACATAAAACAATAAAATGTGTTTTATCCCACCAGCCGAATGGCTGGACTCCTGGACTATTTCTATCCAGCAGCATCAGTTAAAGCAGCAGAGGAAAACGCTGCCAGTTTGCAAAATGTTATTGGCAAAGGCACTTCTTCTAAATGGCAGGGCCCTGAAATGGAGATGAAGGAATAATGGAGTTTAATTAATTTACTTATGTACGCTCCATGGCAGCATTTAGAAAGTTTTTTATTTTATTAAAAGTGAGATAATTCACACCAGTTTTGGCATATATACTTAACATGAACACACGCACAGACGAAAATCATTCATCTATGATCATAGAACAAAGGCATGTGTCAGCAGGACAATGGTCATTTAAATGCTGCTGCGTTGTCTGGTGCTATTATTTATCAGGTTGCACTCTGCAGATGAGATTCAAAAGGTTGAAACCAGTTGGGGTTTGTCAAATGCTGCATTACAACTTGTTTCACCACCAGAAATCCAATAGGCTGACGGTTTTTGTGTATATGTAAGTATGGAACTGTACAGCTCTTTTGTCAATCCACTGCTCAATGAGGTCTGCCCCAGACCATGCAGGTCGTGGAGGTGATATCACCATAGCTCACCACACTGCTCAGTGCCACGTTGGTTAAGACAAGTAGATGTGTGAGCATAGAAACATAGTGCCGCACAACAATGGAACACGACCTATCCCCGCACACGAGAACACCTGTTGGTGACTGCCCAACCAATAACTATCCAGGCTCATCCCTGCTTATAGCTGCCGAAATCTGACGAGATTGCGTGAATTGCGGGTGATATGGTCATTGGAGTTCGCCGTTGTATTTAAACGCGAATCAAAAGTCTGTGCAGGAACACGGGGGGGGGGGGGGGGGGGCTTTGCTTTGAATTGGTGACTCGGAAACCGAATTTCAACTTCACCGCCGCATCACAACTACACCGCAAAGTGGCGGCGTACTGGAGAGATTCACATTATTCACCACGCCGTGCCAAATAGGAATTGCACGAGCGAATTCACTGTCATGTACTCGACAACGTTGGCAAAAAAAATCAGTCAAGCAATTCAACGCAACTGCGGTAGGAGCCCCGTTTTATTGGTGTGACCTGCAGAGCGAGCGTTCTGTTTAGGGTCGACTAGTGCGGGTGGGTTTTTTTGCGCAGCTGTTTTGTGTGACGGTGTTGATCGACGTGCTTGGGACAATTGGGACGTTTTCCTTTCATGACCGTAACGAGATGCGACAATACGAATGAGAATAGAACATTTGGTTGGCAAGAGTGATCCACGGTGTGATGCATGCGGATGGTGCTGATCGTGATGTCGGTGTAGGGCTATGTGTTGACGACGGTGATGATGATGGTGGTGTCCAGAGATGGATGATAATGACCATGGCAAAGGATAATGGTAAAAGTGTCAGGATTGTGCCTGCTGTTGTTTTTGCTGCCGCTGACGATGTGTCCATAGTGCGCCAAAAGATAATGCTCGTGATCATCGTCAGCGTCATTGTTGTGATGATCACAATCATCATCATAATCAATACATAGTAAATACATTTTGGGTTAAGTTCGCGTGAATATAAATGTGTCGTTAACCCATCACCACCCGACCCAGACAATTCACGTGAACACAACTAGTCGCTACTTCAGTGTGTATCGGCGAGGAAGCCCACAACATTCACAATGTGACCATCACCACAATCAGCATCGACGTGACAACGACGCTCGAGTAGTGAGCGGGGCTATCGCGATCACCTGCCGGGGGGGGGGGGGGGGTGCTCACCTGGTAGGCGTCTAGTTGCTCCTCGGTAAAGATCGTCTGCTTGTTGCCCATGCCCGCCCCTCCTCGCTTGCGCGGCCCCGCACTCGGGCAGGGGACATCACACGGACGAATTCGGCGCCCCCCGGGGTAGAGGGGGCAACGGTGGCGGCAACGACGGTGGCGACAGACGTCAGCGAAGATGGAACGGGTTGCTGCTGCTGTTGCTGCTGTTGCTACTGCTGCTGCTGCTACGGCGACGGCGGTTGGAGTAGCCCACCGTAGCGAAAGCCGCTACCCCATGACGCAGGGCGAGAGGGATGCGGCGCGCTCCGGGGAGAGCACTCGGGACACCTGAGCCGGTCCACGCCGCCCGCGCCTCCTTCACGCTCCTGCGCCGCGCACAAGCAGAGATGAAGTTACACCGGCGGCGTCGTCTCCTCCTCCTCCTCCTTCATTATTTATACCGCAGAACAAAACAGAAAGAAGGCGCCTGTTATGTTATGTAAGAGTCTATATTTATTGCAATGCGCAACATGAACGACGAGAGCAACACGAGCGAGCGCGCGCATAACAACAACAACAACAACAAAACAACCCATCACAAAACGACTATCGTAGGCAACAACAAAAACCTCCCCCACCTCCCCCCCCCCAATAAAAAACAACAACATTTCTTCCCGCGAAACTTTGGAGTTGAGTTGATGCGGTTGGTTGGGGCTGCTGTTACGCACGTCGTTGTTGCGAAACGATCCGGGTTCACTGCCCGCTCCGCGGCGCCCTGAGCTCCCGCATTGCGCTGCCGCTGCTGCTGCTGCGGCTGCACGATTCGTGCGGTGCCCCGCGCAGCGAAACTGTTGCGCTCCAAAGATCGCCACCCCCTCCCTCCCCACACACACACCGCGCCCGTCCACCCACCCACCCACCCACCTCGCTCCTTCCCCCATGGTGTGTGCGCAGCGTGGTGGATCCCACACCCCAACGCAATGCTCACCCCCCCCCCACCCTGATCCATCCCTCCCTACCTGCCTTCTTCATACAGCCATGGCCCCCGCCCCCTTCCCTCTAGATGTTCTGCAATCACCGCCGGAATGAGACACGATCCCCTTTTTACGCTTGAAAGACCACGCTCATTCATCTTAGCCGCACACGCGTCTACGCACGCGCACACACACGCGCGCACACACACACGCACCCACACACAACAACAGCAGCCATTCGCCACAAAGTGGCGGTGACGCATCCACAGCGATTGTGTCAGGCTATGTGCACCTCGAGGCCACGTGAAGTGTGCAAGGCTCGCTGCTGGCAGGAGGAGGTCACGGGAGAGCCCCAGGTGCCATGGAGTGAGCGACAGAGATGGCTAGCAGGTGTACCACCTGTGCCAACTTGCTGCGTTTTATCCGCCCTGTGCTCCGCTCGTTGTTGTGAGCGTCGCTCCTCTGCCCTCCGTTGTTGTTGGAGGGCAATTCCCCCCAACTGCACACACATATGTGCGCACGCACTCGTGCACGCACTCACACACAAAGATAAATATCTCCCTATAACGTGACCAGACTGTTGGGACACGTGCAATTAGCGAGCATCTGTGAAGACCAGCACGGCACACGAGGGGTTGGGTGGCCAGCACCAATGCCGGCCGCTTTTATCTGCTACATAGTGGCGATGCTTTTGAACACATCGCACGAGATACTCATTTGAGGCTGAGCATACCTTGGGGAGGTCCAGGACTGGTTCAAATAATCGAACTCGTGGCGCCAGGTTCGCAGCGCAGCGCGCTCACCGCTTTGTTATCGCTCCCCACGCAGACACACACGTGCACGCACACGTACGTGCCTCTACACAAGCACACATGAACAATCAATCGCATGAACAAACACACATACACATACATGCAGACGTGCATTATACGCACGCATAGATGCACACGCATCACTGATGCAAAATGTACGCACGCTGGCAAACGCACGCACGCAGATACACTTGTGTGCACGCACACTCGGTCACGTGCGGGCAAAATTCACTCTATCGCGAGTAGCCATGTACTCGAGTGCATAGGCAAACTTCCAGACACGTGCAAACATGAGCACTCACACGCACGCAAGAAGACACAATCTCGAATGTACACAACCTCGCACAAGCTTGCAGAGAGAAGACGAAGAGACGCCCCGCGTAGCCTTTGTAGACTGACTTCTGGGGCAAGAATTGTTCGTGAGCGTCTATCAAGATCTGTACGGTGCACGGAGGTTGCTGCGACCAGCAACGTGCACGTCCGCCTTTGTCTCCCTGGTGCTGATGGTTTCGCACACCGCACGGGGTGCTTACACGAAATTCTGAGCCAAAAAAAAACTCAGAAGAGAAGTCCAGAACAGATCGAGATATCACTGGCGACTGACGTGAGCCGTGGGGCCGGGGAATCGAACTCAGGTCGGCGTGTTCGTAGCGCATTGCGCTAACCCCTGCGCCACCGCTCCCCGCGCGTACACGGCACGATCTCTGATCGAAGGCGAGCGCGCCTATAGGCAATCAACGGGCACGCGACGACAGAATACTAAGCGAAGAAGTGATGAGAGAGATCGAGTTGTCTGTGCGTCCTAACTCATCGCAAGTCGGAATATACAGTAATAAGCGTGGCCGAGACTGTAATGTGCGTACGTGTATGTGTGTTGAATTTCTTTGGCGCCGTACGTAGCCAATCGTGCTATACATCGGAGGTGCGGAGGCGGGATAGTCAATGGGATTGGTGACCACCGGTGCATCGATAGGGCAGCGGTGTTCGAGGCAATGGGGCTATGTTGTGAGCAACGGAGGGTAGCCCAGGCAAAACTCCACTGTTGTAGTGTACGTCCGTGCTCCCACGTGTATGTGCTCCGCGTCTTCGCCATCTCGAGCTGTCCTGCGCGCTGCTCAAGCGTGGTCAAGGAACCCTCGCGCAGCGGTGGAAGAACCACGGATGGCCACGCACATGTTCGTGAGTGAGAGCCGTACACGGTGGGGCCGCGGTGCTCTACACAACATCGCCGCCTGCTCCGAAGTGGCATCATTGGCAAGAATGCTCGTGCGTTCTGCAGTGCGGCTATTGAGACTCTGCGATGGCAAATGCAAACGTGTGTTTGAACTTTGTTCGCGCCGTACGTTGCCAACCGTGCCAATCGGAGGTGCGGGGCCTTGCAATTGCTTGTCCACTCGACCGCTGGCTGAAGCGCCTCCACTAGAGGGAGCTGTTGAGAGCCCCAATGGCGGTTGCTTTTGGCCAACTCTTCCACGATGGCCAACGCGTCCTGGAAGAGATGGCAGTCACCAAGCACGTTACCCTTACACACGTGACCTGCGCGCCGATTCAATTGCGGTGAAGCCATTTATAGTTCTGGGTGAACATTGTTCTCAAGTGCCCAGCCGGGAGATGGAACCGGCCACCTCTGGATTGCAAGTTGGGTGAACTAACCATGACCCCACGGCCAGTATCGTAGCCTATATATTGTTCGGTACAGTGTTAGTCACATGGGGCGGTGGTGCAGCGATTAGCGCACTGTGCTGTGAGGTGTGAACTCGGCGGACCTGTGTTCGATTCCTGCCCAGGGTTTACGAACACCTGGCGGCGAGTGATGTCTGAACCCGGCACGAGCTTCCCCCATTCTCCCCACCACTCATGGGCCCGCTCTGACCAATGTGGTGAAGTATGGTCAAACGGCACGCACGAGAGACGCGGCGTGGGGAAGCCTTCATCCGGCAGTGGATTGAGAATGACCTGTAAAGTGGCCTCGTTCTTTTTCTGTCTCTAAATATTCTGTGTGCCATTTATGTCCATGTTGGCTAATTTGGAAATATGAACTCTGTGTGGTGGGCGGACAGATTTTGTCAACGAATTATACACACCATAACACTCATTAGATTCATGGGTGGGGGTGGCCACGTTTAAAAGTCACTTAGACTTGTGAGCATCATCATACACATACAGCCCGTGTTGTCAGCCCACTGCTGGATGATGCATATTTGACCACACTTCACGCTGGTCAGTGCAGTTTTGCCCTCTACTGCCCACAACGCTGATTACGCCTGTGCTTTGCGCGTGGTGGTGACCCATCTAAGCACACTATTCAATTAACACAAACACGCTTAACATTCGTCAATAACACTGTGGCCTTAAAAGGAAGATATACAATAGGAGACGTTTCGGTCTCGATCTTGTCAGAGCAATGACATTGCTCTGACAAGACCAGGCGCCTTCCCGGCGATTTGCTCATTGGCAAGTGAGCATAAATTAAAAAAAAAGTATCATCATCACCACCACGTAGTTTATTTGTAATAAAAGGACTCGAACACTTCTCTCTGTCTTCGTGTCTTTATTCAGGTTCACGTCTTTACCCACACGGCACTCTGTTATAACTCCTGTATTTGTAGCCCCCGGCTATTCACTGCTATTATAGCTTCCTCTCCCCTCTGACTCTCTGCTTCATCTACTGTAACCTCCTCCCTGCAGACTCGCTGCTACCCCTATGCAGACTCCCGCTGCTACCCCTATGTGCAGACCCTCTGGCTGTCACTGTATGCAGACCCGCTGCCCACCCTCTCTGTGCAGCCCCGCTGCTGACTGCAGCCTCCTCGCTGCTTCGGGTCGGTCACCGCTGGCCAACGGTGCCGATCCTCGCTCCCCCCGTGTTCGTGGCGATCTCGCCACACCCCGCTTCGCCCTTCGTGGCCTTCCTCTGTTCCTGGTTCCCCGTCACTCCCCTTGCTCTTCCGGTTCCCCTCCTTCTATACTCAACCCCTCTGCCCCCCACGTGACCTAACTCCTCCCCCCCTGACGGCGCCTCAGAAGGGCCGTTTACAACCGCATTACATCACTCTCCCCCCTAAAGAAAATCCAGCCGACCTCGGCTGAATTGCAACCTGAAAAGCAATGCGGGTGTAAAGGGCCAACACGCAAAAAGACACGAAGCATTGAAGAACATTATAACAATAACACAACACAACACAATCTAACGAAACGTGAGGGATTTCGAGCGAGTACGGGTAGCCGGGCCGTCCCGGACGGTCGGCGGCCCACCCGCCGAGCGGGAACGTGGAAGGGTTTTAGGGGCGACGGGCGCAAGTTCTTCCGTCGCCATTGGAGGCCCGCCACTGTCCCGCTCGCGTCCAGAAACATCCCGTACTCGCGTCCGCAGAGGGATAGGAAGCGCTGCAGGTCCCGTGGGTTCTGCGGCTCCGGTCGGCGTCCCACAAGCGGAAGGTCCTCCTCCCTGCGCTGTCACGGCCGGATTGTCTGTGAAGGGTACGACCGGCGCTCTCGCAAGGTCAGCAGACACAGGCAAGGGCGAGTCGGCAGCAACAGACCCCGGCAAGGCAACTTCGGGAGATGACGCATCCGGCCGTGGGGCAATGTATGGCTTCAACCGGGACGTGTGCACGAACCAACGCCGTGCACCAACCTGAACACGCGCCGACTGTGGGTTGGGAACCTCAATGAGGCGGACCGGACCCTGCCAAGGTCGATGTAATTTAGGAGATGTACCTGGCCGCACCTGTGGGCAATGAAGCCAGGCCAGGTCCCCCTTTTTCCAGGGACACTCCCCCTTTGAACGTCGGGCACACCGCTCATTCCTGGCCTGAGCCTTGGCAGTAGCCATGCGGGCATTTTCCCTCGCCTCAGCGACACGCCGAACGTTGTCCTTAATATACTCAGGAAGAGGCTTAACAGGCCCCCTCGCACCGGTTCCCAACTGGTCATGAATCGGCGGCACGTTCTCACGGCCGTACATAAGGAAAAACGGC